AGATCTCGGTTCCTTTCGAAATTCGCGCATATCGGACCGTAACTTCCTGAATTATGGCCCCTGATTGTACGAAAAATCGCGTTTTTAGCTTGTGAACCCCATAGAGGTCATAATTTTTATCCGATTTAAAAAACCGTTTTATTATATCACCGTTACACCATAAGGACGACTTAGTTCGAATTTCGTGAAAATCGGCCTAAAATTGACAGACAAAATGGCCGCCGTTCGTTCTCAAATACCGTAAAAATATGGTATATCAAGGTTGTGGACCCTATAGAGGTCACAATTTTTATACGCCCACATTTTCATGTGGACGTATTATGCCGTCGCCCGTGTCCATCCGGACGTCCGTCCGTCCGTCCACAATTGTTTGTGGACTCTCTACAGGTCACAATTCTTATCCGATTTCGACGAAACTTGAAATATAGGTTTATCCCCAAAAGATCTCGGCTGCTTTCGATATTGGCATGTATCGGATCGAAACTTCATGGATTATGGCCCCTGTTTGTACGAAAAGTCACGTTTTTAGCTTGTGGACCCTATAGAGGTCACAATGTCTATCCGATTTTGTTGAAACTTGAAATGTAAGTTTATAACCCAAAGATCTCAGTTCCTTTCGATATTTGCGCATATCGGACAGTAACTTCCTGAATTATGGCCCCTGATTGTACGAAAAATCACGTTTTTAGCTTGTGGACCCTATAGAAGTCATAATTTTTATCCGATTTAAAAAACCGTTCTATTATATCACCGTTACACCCTAAGGACAGTTGAGTTTAAATTTTGTGAAAATCGGCCCAAAATTGACAGATAGCGTAAAAATATGGTATATCAAGGTTGTGGATCCTATAGGGGTCACAATTTTTATCCGATTTTGTTGAAACTTGAAATGTAAGTTTATAACCCAAAGATCTCGGTTCCTATCGATATTCGTGCATATCGGACCGTAACTTCCTGAATTATGGCCCCTGATTGTACGAAACATCACGCTTTTAGCTTGTGGACCCTATAGAAGTCGTAATTTTTATCCGATTTAAAAAACCGTTCTGTTATATCACCGTTACACCCTAAGGATGACTGAGTTCGAATTTCGTGAAAATCGGCCCAAAATTGACAGACAAAATGGCCGCCATTCGTTCCCAAATAGCGTAAGAATATGGTATATCAAGGTTGTGGACCCTATAGGGGTCACAATTTTTATCCGATTTTGTTGAAACTTGAAATGTAAGTTTATAACACAAAGATCTCAGTTCCTTTCGCTATTCGTGCATATCGGACCGTAACTTCCTGAATTATGACCCCTGATTGTACGAAAAATCACGTTTTTAGCTTGTGGACCCTATAGAAGTCATAATCTTTACCCGATTCAAAAAAATGTATTATTATATCACCGTTACACCCTAGGGACGACTGAATTCGAATTTCGTGAAAATCGCCCCAAAATTGACAGACAAAATGGCCGCCGTTGTGGACCCTATAGAGGTCATAATTTTTATCCGATTTTGTTGAAACTTGAAATATAAGTTTATAACCCAACGATCTCGATTCCTTTCAATATTTGCCCATATCGGACCGTAACTTCCTGAATTATGGCCCCTGATTGTACGAAAAATCATGTTTTTAGCTTGTGGACCCATTAGAGGTCATAATTTTTATCCGATTTAAAAAACCGTATTATTATATTACCGTTCCACCCTAAGGACAGTTGAGTTTAAATTTTGTGAAAATCGCCCCAAAATTGACAGACAAAATGGCCGCCGTTCGTTCTCAAATAGCGTAAAAATATGGTATATCAAGGTTGTGGACCCTATAGAGGTCACAATTTTTATCCGATTTTGTTGAAACTTGAAATGTAAGTTTATAACACAAAGATCTCAGTTCCTTTCGATATATGCGCATATCGAATTGTAATTTCCTGAATTATGGCCCTTGATTGTAGGAAAAATCACTTTCTTTTTAACTTGTTCTCTATCCATCTCTCGAAAATGTGGGCGTATTCTGCCTGGCAGCCGCTGGTTTAACAATTATAACGAGAACTGTCAGCTCTTTATCTAATCTTACGGTCGTATATCATGTCAATGATTTTATATGCCCCTGTCCGTCCACAATTTGTTTGTGGACACTACACAATGTCACAATTCTTATCTGATTTTAACGCAACTTGAAGGGGTCACGATGGCTAAGAGGGTAAGACGCTGGCTCGCTATAGTGGAGGTCGGGTGTTGGATCTCTGCATTGACCGTTAAAGTTCATCCAGATTTTCCGGCGAGGTTCCCCCTTGTCAGTGATGCAGGACGGAGGACCTGACACGGACAGGTGCCTAGTCGTTTGGATGGTACGAAAAACCGAGATCCCGTGTACACATTGGCGTGCACATTTTGTAAACTGACATGGTTGTATTTCTACATTACGTTTGATGTAATCTTACATAAGCCTTGTAATATTGGGGGGGGGGGGTGAAGATGTATGGAAAATATATATATATCTGTTCTTTAGTATAACGCTAAAACGGGCAACCGATATTCACTACACGGGGTGACCCATGTTTGTTAAATTTACATCCATTTTTTTTTTTAAATCGACCAAAACGAATATCCAGACGATTAGCTCAGTTCCGATCAAGAAAGGGGTATATCCTAAAAGTGATAGTAGGCCTAGCAAATGCAGGCGCAAGCACAGATGTGCCTCTACTGCAATAGAAACATTCCTTGGGATTAAGACTATTTACAATAATGTTCTCGTCGATTTATTTGTCAATTCCCTATGTAAACTTGCAATATCCCAATTCTTCATGTACGGTATGTATCTTTTTTTTGGTGTTCTCGTAATACTACACGTAGCCACCGGCGGATAGGGTATTTTGGAATTGAGGGGGGGGGGGTATTTTTTTTTTTTTTTACATGGACTTAGTTGACAACCTGTTGGGGGTATAGCTAAATTGTTATAAAAACTCAATAAAATGGCCGTATGAATTAGCCCCTCGGGGCGTACGAAGATATTTAGGTAAGAGATAATTTTGAAAAATTGGACCGTCAATATTGACTTGTAGTTTGTAGTTGTGGCGCATATCTGGGCCCGAAAATAACATTCAATGATTCATTTTCATCAGCTGCCTCTCCCCTAGCTGCAATATTGTGCTAGGCGGAAGACATCAGTACAGTTGCGAAACCATCTTTACCTTTTCCCAACGAAACCAGCGGCTGCCAGGCAGGATACGCCCAGATTTTGCAAGAGATGGATAGAGAACAAGCTAAAAACAAACGGGATTTTTTGTACAATCAGGGGCAATACTCCAGAAAGTTATGGTCTGAAATGCGCAAATATCAAAAGGGACTGAGATCTTTGGGATATAAAGATATGTTTAAGTTTCATCAGAATCGGATAAAAATTGTGACTTCTAGAGGGTCGACAACCTTCGTAAAGCTAAAAACGCGATTTTTTCGTACAATCAGGGGCCATAATTCTGGAATTTACTATCCGATATGACCGAATATCGAAAGGAACCAAGATCTTTGGGTTATAAACTTTAATTTTAAATTTTTATTAAAATCAAAAGACAGTTGTGACCTCTAGAGGGTCCACAACATTGATACCATATTTTTACGCTATTTGACTACGAGGCGTGGCCATTTTGTCTGTCAGTTTTGGTTCGATTTTTACGAAATTCTAATTCAACCATCCTTAGGGTGTAATGGTGATATATTCAAACGTTTTTTTTTTTAAATCGGATAAGAATTACGACTGCTATAGGGTCCACAAGCTAAAAACGCGATTTTGCGTACAATCAGGGGCCATAATTCAAGAAGTTACGATTCGATATTCACGAATATCGAAAGGAACCGAGATCTTTGGGACAAAAACACATGTTTGAGGTTTCATCAAAATCAGAAGTTACGGTCCGATATGCCCGAATATCGAAAGGAATTGAGATCTTTGGGTTATAAACTTACATTTCAAGTTGCAACAAAATCACGAAATTCGAACTCTGCCATCCTTATGGTGTAACGGTGATATACTAAAACGTTTTTTTTAAATCGGATAAAAATTATGAACTCGATAGGGTCCACAAGCTAAAAACGCGATTTTTCGTACAATCAGGGGCCATAATTCAGGAATTTATGGTCCGATATGCGCAAATATCGAAAGGAACCGAGATCTGTGGGTTATAAACATATATTTCAAATTTAAACCAAATCGGATAACAATTGAGACCTCTACAGTTTCCACAAGCTAAAAACGTGATTTTTCGTACAAATCAAGGGCCATCCATAATCCATGAAGTTACAGTCCGATACATGCCAATATCGAAAGGAACCGAGATCTTAGGGTGATAAACCTATATTTCAAGTTTCGTTGAAATCGGATAAAAATTGTGACCTCGAGAGTGTTCACAAACAATTGTGGACGGACGGACAGGGGCGAAAATGTGGGCCTATAAAAATAACTCAAACACGTTTCATTTACAGGGACAGAATAATAAATGAACCCCCGCCCCAATATATAACTGCATCCGTCCCTTAAAAATTAACTATAGGCTACGGATAACCCGTGGTAATTTAAAACTTTGAGTTCGGTTCGCTAGGCCGCGACTGATCAGCAGTGAATTTCGCTAGGCCGCGACAATCACTGATAAGGATGACATAAAAAACTTTTTTCCTCCGACAAATTAAATTCTAAAACATTTTTTTATGTATTAGAAAAATAAATAAAGACGTTTGACGTATTTGTAGGCAGCCTAAAGATTATTTCCTATGTTAGTGCAAATGGGTATTAAAACGGGTAAAAGTCTCCATTCCGCCCGAAACAGTAAGGTCTTATGAATGCACGCGCCATTGAGCCAATGATTGACACCGCGTGATGAAAAGTCACGGGTTGAAGGTAGTCATCCTTTACAGCTATATTAGAAGACTTTAGTAATCCTCTGGCTCTGTGAAACAGATTTGGCAAGACGGTTTATCTTGTTTACTGGATAATCGTAAAAATATCAATTTAAAGGGGGGTGATTCTTACGGTACTCAAGAAGAAAAAAATGGAAATGGCTGCTGCTTGTCGAAGTTGACAAATAAACGTTAAAAGACGATAGAAACCATTATTTTTATACTCTTGAGACGAGGGACATTGGTTTATTTATGCGTCTAGTAACATTTGTGAGAAATAGTAGAAAAATCTGTGTTCATAATAGTAATTTCTTATCCGAGCGAAAGTGAGTAGTGATGAATGCTTGATAGTCGAGATTATCTAGTTACTTTGTTTAGTATAAACATGTATCGCATCTGCTCTCTAGTCATACATTACTATTATTAAAGTAACTAGAGATTATCATGCTCTTGAATGACTAGATAGAAATTTGTCAAAATAATGATGATTTTGTTCTTACAATCAAGAAAGTTACAATGCTTAACTGGAATAACTAAATCTCTAGCTTTCCCAAAATTTGTTTCAAAACTTCGTCTTAACCAATTTATATTTATAATCTGAATTTTCACTCCATGTGCGGCATGTGCAATAGGCCTACACTAGTAGGATGACCCGTGCACTTTACAGAAAGTTGGTCTCGACACGGCTAAATGTGCACACTTCAGTTGCGTGTCTCGAACTGATTTCTGACTACCCCGCACTCGCTTTGAGTCGATAAATAGCCATGGCACGTGCAATTCTCTACAAATATATCAACTATTACAGCCGTAAAAAATCTATTGTTGACGATTTTGAATAGCAGTAAAATTTAGCTTCTTGGCTATTACAGCAGCTTTAGTAATTACGTTTGTTTTATTTTTTAAATTGCTTTATCATTAACTGTACCGTTAAGAGCGGCATCTTTTGGTTTAGTACAAATACTATCTCTGAATCACTTTCTTTAGCAGGAACATGATACTAGCAGTAGTTTCATTTTACTTTTACAAGTTTCTTAAAACAATTGTTGAGTTGTCTAAAGTGCTTATTTCTAAATTCAATTTCTTGTTCTAGCTTTCTGTTATGTTTCGTAAAAAAGTAGTCTTGATTATCCCGACCTGTCAATCAGACGTAGAATGGTCGATAGACTGGTTAAGCGAGACTAATTTCAAAACAAGGGCACGTAACCTATATTTTACTCAAAAGTGTCTGGGTGTTATGGACGCAACTTGGAACCAGTTTTCAGTCTATTATTTATAGATGATTAATGGTCATAGCTTATTAAGTACAACATGATCGTTTATTTAGTGACTATAATTGTGTGAAACTGATTTGAGGCTTGGCATATATATAAATATTGTGGCGTAATTGTCGAGATATTTGGAGATATTTATTTATGGTGGGTCACCCTAACACTAGTACTTAATGTCTGAACCGTCAGAAATTTCTTCGATTATGAGCAAACTACTTAACTTTGGTTATTATAAACTTACCTGTGTGGTTGAAATTACCTCCGGTTAAATAAAATCCATTGTATAACTAAATATGCCAGCGAATAAAAAAGTTCTCTCTTGTGAAATTACAAATATTGACATCGAGAAATACAAAAATGGAAGCTAATTACGTCACTTATCGGGATAGATCATTTCGTTAAGGGGGTCGCAGCTCACCCTTGAATATCTTTTATATTTCCTGATGAACGTAAGCAGTCCTGTCAATTAACCTCGGCAATCTGCCGATATATTTTACATTTGCCTCGGAAAAATTAATAGCCATTGAATCATTGAATAGGTATAAATACCCAAAATTATCAACAAATCATAACACACATAGGTTTAATTGTCGGAAGATAGTTCCATTTCTTTCTATTTCTCTTTGAATATTATTTCCGTTGTGCAAAAACTGTTCAGAATTTTATAATCGTGTGTCTCGGTAACACAATTAATTTCTGAAAATACCGGCTTCGTTTTGAAATTCACAGGGCAATGTATCCATACGATTGTACTCTCAGTTATTAACTATATATTAATCACAAATGCAACTCCATTTTGAAATCCATGGAGAATGGAATTTTATGATAGCATTTCGTAGATCGCGATCATGCCTCAGCCAATCAAAGTACCGTGCCATATAAGTTATTGTATGCTACACAGATGTAGTCAAAATGGTAAAATTTAACGCGGTCTACACGATTAACACACAAGATCCAATAATACATGCAATCTGCGATGCCCCTTTTAATGAGTGATGTTTTGTTTTAAATACATTTTTATAAAGACAATAAACGATGTTAAGACGTCCCGAACTGCTCTTATCAAGAATGTTTCGATTTCAGTATCTGTCGAATAAAAAAAAACAAAGTAATTTAATCAGGAATATTATTGACATGAACAGTCGGAATGTGAATTACATATGGAAATTATTGAGAACGGTGGCTGTTTTTCATATTTTTTGTGGTAATCATAAGACTTTGAGAATGGACTAATAACCATAGAGCATTGGAATTTGACCCCGTTGTGGAATATGATCAATTAAAATTGTGAAATAAAGTGTGTTTATTTATAAATAAAGAGTTTATTTATAAATAAACAAGGAGTAGGGTCGCATGTTCAACCACGTGGGTTTTCTCCGGTTGCCTCCAACTGCTAAAGAACCCTATGCGCAAGCGAATTATTGAAATAAAATTAAACCATATGTTAGTCCTGAAATTACCTAGTTTGTGTCAAGTGGATGTCAAACCCCATTTCTCTCTCTCTCTCTCCGCTTTCAACATATTAGGATGGTTTAGCTCATCATCTGACATGTGTAATGTTGTGATGGACATGGTCGAAAATACAAGCAAAAACATTGACTTTTCAAGAGGGAACTTTTTTTTTTGTTGGGATATTTAATTGTGCAGTGGATTTTATTCATCTGGAGGTGATTTCAAACACATAGGCAAATTTTTAATAACAATTATTCAGTAGTTTGTTCACAATCGAAGAAATTCGTTTAAAATTTACCATGGTTCAGACAGTAGTAAATATTAATACCAGTATATAGCGAATCTGAGTGGTGAACTGCTTCTCACTCTACTAAGCCTTACACTTAAAGTACAGCCATGCATTTCAGTGATTTCCATTAATTATTTTCAATTTTGTTTATCTTGATCACTTAAGCAAGTTATCACTGTGGTCTCAATGATATTTATATGTTTTCAATTGGTCAGGAAAAGCAATAGGTGGAGTATGATTATTGGTATTCAGCATATGCTTGAGAAAGCGACTAATTGAAAATACAAAATTTGAATTAATTGCCATTAAAAATAAGAGATTTTTCTGATGTGTTCAATTACTAAATGCTGTTTTTGAAAATACATGTATATATATATTATGATTTACATGACTGAGCTGGAATCTTTTTTAGAGTTCAGTATTTATCTAGTATGGCAGCTAAATATATAAAACAGATCTGTGATAGTGATAAGATATGTAGATCGGCAGAAGATAAAAGAACTTACAGGGGTCTCGAATTAACAAATGGAATGAAGGTCTTACTTGTCAGTGATCCTGAAACAGATAAAGCATCTGCTGCAATGGATGTCAACATTGGTTAGTATATACTTACAAAAGTTATTTTTTTGAAAAACTTATCTTTATAATTATAATTTTGCCATCTTTTCTGTATTTTTGTCAAGTGGTGCAATCATGATATAATCGGACTTGGGATAATCAGTATCAAATGTAAATATCTGTCATATTTTTGATTTAATCAATTACATTACAGATTAACTCTGTAACTGGGAATTATATAATCTGTTCTACAATTGTACCGGTATGTTAAGATGTAGCCTACTTCAATACAAAACAATGATTACTTTCAGAGTTACTGCCCTTGATCACTTTTACAAAGTTATTTTTTAATTGAGATGAAGAATCACATTGATTTGTACAATAAATGTTAGCAATCATCAGGAAGAGCCAGAAGCTAATCAACTTTTAGTATTTTTGATAACTGCTAACACTACTCTTTATCAGTTTTTAGTGCCTTGCAAATGCTCGCATTATCAAAAATAGAATATATTTCTGACAACCCCTGTGGACTGCTCCAAGGGACTTGACGGCTGTCTGTGTATGTTTCATTGACTGGCAACCTATCTTTACATTTTTTTTTTTTAGGACATATGAAGGATCCTTGGGAACTACAAGGCTTGGCTCACTTCTGTGAACATATGTTGTTTTTAGGAACAGAAAAGGTAAAGCACCACTGAGCAACACTTGTGTTGGATATTTGGCTCTGTATAAAATGATAAATTAATTTATTATATTTGCACCGCAAAATCAAATGTGTTTTATTGCATAGCTCTAAGCTGATTAAAGATGGATTATGGAAGAGCGAAGTCTTTCTTTAGACCGTAAATGAAATTATTAATAAGACATTTATTTACTTGCCAAGACTCATACTCCTCACTGTGATTTGTTTGATTAGAGCTAATCCCACTTAACACTGCTGTAATGGAAGCAAGTTTCTGCTCCAAATTTTGTCTGGTCAATAGTCTGCTTAACATCCAATAACTAACTGCATAACAATATCATTGCCCTTTAAACAGAGCTCCAATTTGGACCAGATATGTTTACATAACGTTATGTCATTTTAATATGCCAAATTAACCAGTGCATAGCAGAATATTGCAGAAAAATAATTGCGTAACAAACGAGGCTATCAACACGGATACAATGTAAACAATACTGTTTGGGCTGTTTGGGCACGAACAATACTTTCACCGTTTTTAAAACCTTAAATCACTGTCCAAAATTTTAGGGAAGACCCCAGATTAAATGAAGGGCTGTCATGTTGCTTGAACGGGAAGAATAAACACACTCCCTCAAAAGCCAATCCAGAGGCCAATCCAGCAATGGCCAGAGAGAGATTTCTCGGGCCATTGCTTCAGGAATATGGTCAAGACTATAATATAATGCCATCGAATGTTCTAGATTTTCAATGGATTTAAACACAATTGGCAGTTAATGATTAAATTAAAAGATGGATAATCAAGACTTTGTTTATTATTGTAACAACAGTAGCGATGACAATCGCGACTCCGCTATTCTCCAAACAGCCCAGTTCCACTCAGAGTGAAGTAATTTAACTGAAATTTTCAGGATATTCCCCTTTCGTTATTTAGTTTTTATACGCCTACATTGAAATGTGGTCGTATATTGTTGTCGCCCCCGTCCGTCCGTCGGTCTGTCTGTCGGTCCGGCGTCCACAATTGCTTGTGGATGCTCTATAGGCTAAAGCTAGTATCTGATTGACTTTAAATTTATACACAATGTTTACGGTCATGAGACGAAGAAGCCTATTGATTTTCAGCGATTTTTGATAATTACTGCCAGAGTTATGGCCCTTGATCAAAAGACCTTCTGGAAGCCCTAGAGGTCAAAGTTAATATCCGATTGACTTTAACTTTATACATAGTGTTTAAGGTCATGAGACGAAGAAGCCTATTGATTTTCAATGATTTTCGATAATTACAGCCAGAGTTATGGCCCTTGATCACTTCAAAAAATCTTGTGGATGCTCTAGAGGCTAAAGTTAATATCCGATTGACTTTAAATTTATACACAGTGTTTAAGGTCATGAGACGAAGAAGCCTATTGATTTTCAGTTATTTTCGATAATTACTGCCAGAGTTATGGCCCTTGATCACTTTGAAAAATCTTGTGGACGCTCTAGAGCTCAAAGTTAATATCCGATTGACTTTAAATTTATACACATTGTTTAAGGTCTTGAGACGAACAAGTATATTGATTTTCAATGAATCTTTATGACTTGAACAGCTAAATCCATGATGTTAAAAGTTTTGTATACTAAGCGTTAGCATGGGGCAGAACTTTATAAAAACCAAACAAATTCTAATGGTTTTCTGATAATTACTTAATGAGTTACTTAATCAGATTTTAATGTATTATAAATGTTTCATTATCGAAAAAAGTAAAAATATGTGACAACTCTTGTTGACTGCCCGGACGATATAGCTGCTGTGGGCGTGTGTTTCGCTGCCTGGCAACCTATCTTTAACTATTATCGCGAGAACTGTCAACTCTTTTATCTAAATCTTACGTAATGCCTCTTTAATATTGAAAATGGTATTAAACTACACATAAACTAATTTTAGAACATCCAAAACCTGTCCTTTAAATTTTGAATATTCACTTCATATATCAGTTTCTCTGCAAATTTATTTGATTCATCTTTTTCAAAATTAAATACATTTAGCTGTGGAAATGTGATATGTACATTCCTTTTTGTTCATTATTCATCTGCCTTTTTTGCAGTATACAGAAGAAAATGAATATAACAAGGTTTGTATATTTATACAAGTATCATAACTACACTATATCCTCATGGCAAGAAAAAGATAATTTATTGTCTGGAAATAAAATTATGAAAGAATTGCTTTGTCTGTTGGCCTGGTCACCATTTTCATCCATACAGCTCTAACTCTGATTTACTTTTTCCAAGCCACTACTCTTGGTGAAGGTGTGATCCCTATCATGTTTCAGTCGATTGATTCAACTCTATATTGTTGTTATACTTTCTTCTCAGATTTACATATTAGTTTTAATTTGTTTGTTTCAGTTTTTGAATGAACATGGTGGTTCATCTAATGCCTTTACATCTGTTGAAAATACTAATTTCTTCTTTGATATTGCTGCTGACCATTTACATGGAGCTTTAGATAGGTGAGAAAATAGTCAATTATTATATAATTGAACCAAGTTTTGTTACTTTATCAATACATGAATTTAATTGGAAATCAGTAGCAGATACTATTTCATTATCATTGTACAATACATGACTAAATACATGAATATAATGGGAAATCAGTAGCATGGTCAGTGTACAATAAATGACTAAATACATGAATTAATTGAAAATCAGTAGTAGATACTGTTCAATGATGATTGTACAATAAATGGCTAAATACATTATAGTTGATATACTGATTGAAATATTATTCAAATTATGCTGTTTTAAGATTTTCCCAGTTTTTTCGCTGTCCACTCTTCACACCATCAGCTACAGAAAGAGAAGTGAACGCTGTGAATTCTGAAAATGACAAAAATCTACAAAATGACTCGTGGAGAGTTCTTCAACTTGAGAAATCGCTTGCTAATCCTAAACATGATTACTCTAAATTTGGAACAGGTGTGTATATATTTGAAAAAAAAAAATCGAAGCATAATTTCTCAAATCTTTGTTCTTATGTTTGCATATACATAATGCAGTTACAATATATTATTATCATAGTGTAGATATATAACCCATTAATTAAATATCTTGTATATATCAAAAGTTAGAATATTTAATATTTTAAATGTAAACACAGATGTTATTATGTAATTAGGGACATGCCAGTATGAAATAAACCTTCATGTAAAATGGGCTGGTCTGCTGGTTTTGTATGAACAAGTAGAATTATTACTTTATCATTACTTTATTTGTTTAAGATAAATAAAGATGGTCTTTAAGAGCATGTCTGTGAGAGCACCATGCAGAGGGTGATAACCCTTGGGTCGGGGATTCGGACCAAATTTTTTTCTGTGAGATGGGTTATGACCCAGATACATCCCCACAAAATATTAGGTTGATTCAGTTGATACCAACCTGGTAAATTTGAAAAATATATTTTTAATAGAAAAATACTAAAAAAATGGGCTAATTTGGAACTAAATTTGTATGATCTGTTATTCGGACAATAATTGTTTTGGACAGCAAAATTTTGGGCATTAGTAGGACCACCCTGGCCCCTCCTACACACAGAGTTTTAAGTTTCTACTGCCAATGATATCTTGGTACTGGCCAAATACTAAACTTGCTCTGATAATTGAATTTAATGAAAACCAAACTGTGAGAGGCTCAAGTTCGTTCTTTGCTTGGACTAGGACCGAAGTTGAATGTTACCCACAACTAGCAACCTTCCTACTAACAAAATAAAAACTAAAAATGACCGGCACAGGCATATAAATAAAAAAAGCAGAAATAAATTAAAAAACACCAAAAATTGGGATAAATTGTCCTGTTTATCAATATCCCATGATGAAGAATATGTATGGACGTCTTTACAAATTTAATATATTCCATTTAATCATTAGCAAGGATGATTTAGACTTGAAAGGAAGAAAAGGAAAATGGGTTAAAGTCCACTGGACACAAAGTAGGTCATTTTGAGACAAACATCTGGTGATGCATATGTTTGGTAATCTTTACAAAGTTTATTCCATTCAGTTGTAATCAAGGATGATTTTGACTTGACAGAGAAATGAGGTTTAAGGTCCCCTCGACACAAACTAGGTAATTTTGAGACTAGGTAATATGATACAGATTTATTTCAATAATTCGCGTGTGAGAAAAGAGAATCTGTGAGATTGGACAGACAACATTAGACCATGTTACCTACAAGCTTGTCGTGGAAACCATGCCACTTAACTCTATGACATACCTTATGATCTAAAGCGCATGTGTTAGACCACTTTTGACTTAATCAAGGGACAAGTTTCACGAATATCCAATGAAATTTACACAGTATAAATCTTATATGAATATGATTAGTAATAAAATGAACATATTTCAGCTCTCGGGTGAAAGATCACTATGTTGTCAATAGCTGCGGGGGGTTCGCAGCAGCATCCCCAGTACATTCTCATGGCTGGAAATGTTCCGTGGAGAACCAGACAAACATCTTCGTGCGTGTAACAGGGTTTAAGGACGTGTGTGTGGGGATGGGGCGATTGTAGATGATCCAGTGGCATTGAGTCATAAACACATGATCAGCATGACTACACATGCTAAAATTGATAACCATTATATTTTTCAAATTAACAATGGATGGAATGTTAGAATTACATATGTACACATATATAGAGATGTTAAGTATGGCATTGTTCGACGGGTGTGTCTCTTCACTGTCAACTATCTTTAAATGACCGCTGATTATCACCTTTTCTTCCATGGTTGGTTATTTGGTCAAAACTATGTTAGGAATTAAACTGCGCTTATTCCCATTTGTATTTCGAAGTCTATCAGTGTATAGAAACATTTGGAAGTTTTAATGGAGAGTTATTGAAAATCGGGAGACAACATACATTACATATTGAAATCTATTGAAGAAGAAGATGACATATATAGGCCAAAAACATTACAAAAATGGGGTCCCAAAACTAAGAACATAGGAAGGCAGGTCAGAATCTAAGTAAGTGAACACTTCTGCTTGAACATAGGTATATGCCGGAGGCTGGCATGTGCAGTCAGAATTATCCTGGATCGTCTGGAGTGCCATGAAACCTGCTGATATCTATACCATCTTCCCCTTCGGAGATTTCAATATGGAAAGCTTGACAATCTCCTAAACAAGGACATCGCCAGATATTAAATGCCTCTCCATGAACACTTAGAAATATATTTTCTTGTGGTTCTTCTTACATGAGAATGTGGATAATAGATATATCAAGTTTATGATAGTCATGGCAGCCCATAAATCTATACGATGATATGCTCCTAAATACAGATCTTAATAACCGTGGTCTAATCACTGCAAAATTATGTATGACTTATGACCTTCCCTTCGGCTAACCAGTAAGCGTGAAAGTCTGATTTTGAAACGAAAATGTTATGATTTTTGACCAAAATACCCTATTTGACAGGCATGTTCAAATACCGAAACATGATGATGATCAGTGGTCATTTGAAAATAAGCGTTGGTCATTGGTGAAAAAGCGCTGCTTTGGTTAGATTGTGCTGATATAAAAACTTGCTGTGCCAGCTCATACATTTATACACTTCCCTGCTACTAACTACTGAATACAATGAAAAATAATCATTGTCTGATTCTGCAAAATTATACACAAGTTACGCCCTTCCCTACGATGATCGTGAAAGTCTGATTTTGTCAAAAAAAAAACTTTTATGATTTTTAACCAAAATAACATATTTGGTACGAGGAACGCTCATATAACAAAATATAGTACTAATGTTGATAATCGATGGTCATTAAGATAGTCGTCGGTCATCAGTAAAAGATGAATTGCATGGAAAATACTGATTTTTGCACATTTTCAGAATATTGTAGCAGACTAGTGGGTTTAGTGCCGGTTAATTTGTTTCTTCTGACATATACTTGAACGAATGCCCATCATTATCACACCCAGCAGTTCTACGTCAGACCTGCCAAGAAGCAGCTACATACGTTTTAGGATGACATAGTTTTCAACATACGTAAAATGACCACTTTAAGATAACTCACAGAAAATTCCACACGATACTTTCATTCCCGAATGACTGCACGATTTTAAGTCGACCACTTGGCCTATCATACCTGACCAGTATCAAAATTTAAGGGTCCCAACATTTCGAGTAGGAGCATTTCGAAATTTGGGCAGTTGGTCGAAATATGGCAAATTTTGATCAAAAACCACAATTTCCAGTTATACCGGAAGTTGTCATTTAAAATTTTGTTCACGGCATCGCGTGATTTCTGTCGCCTAGGGGTCCCCATAGACCAAGTATGATTGAAAATTGCCGACCCCCGGGGTTATTGTTTATTTCAAACTTTTGCATGGTCCTCGCGCAGATGCGTTCTTAAGTCTATATTTATTAATTTTGGGACTTTAAGTTATTGTAACAGTTAATACTATTAAGTATTTTTTATTGTCAGTGTGCTGAGCACAAAAATATTTTTTGTAAATAGGGTATTTAATAACATACTCATATTATAATACATCTATATTGCAAGCAAACATAATTTCTTTATAGGTAATAAAGTAACATTAGAAACTAATCCTAAAGAAGCTGGAACAGATGTTAGGGATGAATTATTAAAATTTCACTCACAATACTATTCTTCTAACATTATGGCTCTGTGTGTTTTGGGTAAAGGTGAGTTCTGGTTAAATATGTTATTTATTATACTTCAAAAGCAACATAGTCTGTTTAATTACATATCCTTAAGTTGTTCGTACATCTCCATAATTATCCTGTTCATTTTTACGTTCCCATACACTCATAAACAGTTTTATATACCAGTAGATATTTTGACTTGGATCATTTAAGGCGATACAGTGAAAAGTTACTTTCTGATAACCACTCAAGAGGAATTGCTAATGAATTTTCTGATTGAATAGCACTTTTTTTATACGCCCATGTAAATTATTGTGATGTGTTGTTTAAAGTTGCAATTGCAAATTTTCAAGTTATATTTTTTAAAATATTTTAAAATAAAGCCTTAAAATAGATGGTATCCATAAACAGTCCTACCTTGTTAAAGAATAATCCTATTAATCCTATAATTCGCTATTGCCAGCTGAGAAATTGGCAAAAATATCATTTTTAACTTCAAATTCCAACGTTGGAAAATGGCTGCCCCATGTTGTCAATAGCAAAACAGGGGAGGTAATTGTGTTGTTATTTCCTGTGTCATTGAGTCAACTGGCGTGGTTTCGAATCCCCGGTTGTACGTGGCAAGGAGTAGGGTCGCCTGTCCAACCTCGTGGGTTTTCTCCGGGTCCTCCGGTTTCCTCCCACTGCTAAAGACCCCTACGCGCAAGCGAATTATTGAAATAAAATTAAACCATATGTTTGTCCCGAAATGACCTAGTTTGTGTCGAGTGGACGTTAAACCCCAGTTCTCTCTCTCTATTTCCTGTGTCATAGATTTTTAAGGGTGGGAAATAATGTCCATGATCGTATAATAGTGATTTGATAATCTATTGAGCAAAAGACATAGAAATAATTATGTTTTGACTTTCTTAGAAAATTTGAAATTCTCGCTTTAATTTATTAACTATATCTTTTGTATTATATTTTCTACGAAGGGCAGGATGTTAGAAAGGCTATCATAGCCTAATCTTCAACCCTTCTTAAATAAAGTCATCATTATTATTATTATTATTATTATTGTCGCCCCAGTCCGTCCGTTCACAATTTGTTGTGGACACTCTACAGGTCATAATTTTTATCCGATTTTGACGAAACTTGAAATATAGGTTTATATCTCAAAAGATTTCGGTTACTTTCGATATTGGCATGTATCAGATCGTAACGTCGTGGATTTTGGCCGCAGATTGTACGATATATCACGTTTTTAGCTTGTGGACAATCTAGAGGTCACAATTTTTATCTAATTTTGAAATGTATCTTTATAACTCAACAATCTCGGTTACTTTCGATATTCACTCTTATCGATCCGTAACTTTCTGCATTATGAGCTCTGATTAAATGAAAAATCTTGTTTTTCGCATGTGGTTACTGTAGAGGTCACAATTTTTATCCGATTTAATAAACGTTCAAATATATCACCGTTACACAATAATGATTGTTGAGTTCGAATTTCGTGAACATCGGACCGAAACTGTCAGACAAAATGGCCGCTCCCTGTACGCAAACAGTGTTAAAGTCCAATTTTGATGAAACTTAAAACACGTGTTTATATCCCAAAGATCTCAGTTCCTTTTGATATTTGCGCATATCGGATCGTAAGTTCCTAGATTATGGCCCCTGATTGCATGAGAAAATCGTGATTTTAGCGTGTGGGTATGGGCCCTCTAGATTTGATTAAATCTATCATTGTTACACCCTAATGATGGGCGCTTCTTTAACACAAATAGTATAAAAGTGTGTAATACCAAGGTTGTGGACCTGCTAGAGGTCACAATTTTTGTCTGATTTTGATTAAACTTTAAATATATGTTTATATCCCAAAGGTCTCAGTTCCTTTAGATATTCGCACATATCAGACAATAACTTCATGGATTATGGTCCCTGATTGTATGAAAAATACATTTTTAGCTAGTGGATTCTCTAGAGGTCACATTTTTTATTCAATTTTAGAAACTGTTTAAATATATCACCGTTGCACCGTAAGGAAGATAGATAGAATTTCGGCAAAATCGAAACTAAACTGACCAATAAAATGGCCGCTCCTTGTACACAAATTGTGTAAAAGTATGTAATACGAAAGTTGTCGACCCTCTGGAGGTCACGGGTCCATGTCAAAACCCCCTCTGGTCAAAACCCCCTTGGTCAAAACCCCCTAGGTCATAACCCCCTTGGACTTAAATTAAAAACGGACAAAACCCCCCCTTTTTATTTATTTATTTTTTTATTAATTTATTTCCTTTATTTATTATTATTTAAAAATAAATATCTGAAAAATAAAATATTATTATTTAAAAAAAAATATGATGACCAACTAAGACAATTGACCACACATTTAACATAACATAATCTGCTTTTTACTAGGAATAACATAGCCTCAGTTATTGTAATCATTCAAGTAAAAAGCAATTATCTGATCAATCTCAACTAATGTCATGGCGCTACAATTTAAAATCTCCTATACCCAACCCTATTCCCAGCAGAACTCTGGAACGTTCATCTGACAACACTTGGTGGTGGGTCTCACACTAACAATCTATGCGAGTCTTGGAACAGGGCGTTCAGTTCCCTGCTGGGAATATCACACCCCACAATCTGGCGGGCTCTCGAACATCTCCATCTGGATTACAGCAATGTCAAGACTGCACTCCTGCAATACTCACACGGACAACCACCAAAAAACAACAGAAGATCTACAAGAAAGACTTTACAACTTGTGTGCAAACCATAAAAGGTATTGGGCACACCATCCGATGGAAATAATTTCACCCATATAATTGCAAATAAAATATAAAAATAATTGATTTTGTTGTGTACTTCACTTCTCAAACCACAAAAACATAATTTTGAAATGATTTTAATATTATATAATATAAAAATGGGGGGGTTTGACCAGAGGGGGTTCTGACTTAGGGGGGTTTTGACCTAGGGGGGTTCTGACTTAGGTCACAACCCCCTAGGGGGTTCTGACCGGAGGGGGTTTTGACCGTATCCCAGAGGTCACAATTTTTGTTTGATTTTGATGAAACTTGAAATAAATCTTTATATCCGAAAGATCTCCTTCCCTTTTGGCCTGGAGGCTCAGTGTGTGAGGATGTCCATCAAATGGGCACAAAACCAGACCCAACTTTTCTAGAGTGAAATTTTGCGTAGAATACGATGGCGAGTGGTAATCAGTCTGCCATTGGGGCGTTTTCAAGATATTAGGGGTCAAAGGTCAAATGAGGTCTTTTGCACTGAAAGTGAATGGGCAGCCATTCTTGTATCATGGAAACATGCTGAAAATGATCGAAAGTAATCAGTCTTTCAATAAAAATGTAAACTTAAGGTCTTGAGATGAAAAAGTATTTTAATTTTCGATGAATTTTTATGATGTGAACAGCTAAATCCATGATGTTAAATGTTTTGAATACTAAACGTTAGCATGGGGCAGAACTTTATAAAAACCAAACAAATTCTAATGGTTTTCTGATAATTACTTCATGAGTTGTTACTCTTAATCAGATTTTAATGTATTATAAATGTTTCATTACCGAAAAAAGTAAAAATATGCGACAAATCTTGTTGACTGCCCGGACGTTTGAGCTGCTGTGGGCGTATATTTCGTTGCCTGGCAACCTATCTTTTATAATGTGGAGTATATTGCCATCACCCCGTCTGTGTGTGTGTGTTGCCTACAGGCCACAATTGTTAAGTGATCATCTTGAAACTTTACATACTCTGCATTTCTTAACGTATCATCTTGAAACTTTGCATACTTATTCCTTGTACAATAAGGAACATCCCTATCGTTTGGAGTGCATGCCCAACCCCCATTTTCTTTTTGTGCGTCTGTGTGTCACTTACAGCCCACAATGCTTAATCGATCATCCTGAAAACTTTTTTATACTTATTCCTTATACCCTATTGCTTTTTGTCTGTAAATGATATACAGGTTGCAATTATTAACAGATTTGGATCCAATTCGGACTGATCCAGCATAGGGTTGTACCTATATATATTGGTCCATGTCCAACCTCCAGGGGAAGAGCTACACTCAATTTTTGATTTTTGTCTACAGGCTGAAATTCTGAATGGATCATCTTGGAACTTTGCATATTTATTCCTTATGCTGTAAAGACAGCAACTATTTATTTTGGTGTATGTCTCTTCATTTTAAAAAGTACGATATCAATCAAAGCAGGAATGTCGACGTATATTGCAGCGTTAGCAATGCTCTTGTATACTTATATTCCCTGATTATGTTACCTTGCCTGGCAACCAATGTTCAATTTTATTACAGAATCCTTAGAGGAGCTCACTGGTCTAGTTGTCCCATTATTCTGTGATGTAGAAAATAAAAATATGGCTGTTCCAGAATGGAGAGAACAGCCTTTTGGTCCTGAAGAATTAATGGTATAATAACCCTTTTCATTTGTTCAATAGATGAAGTGTGATGTACGTTCAATCCATTTTAAGGAACCAACACAAAAACTGGTATTTTCTATGGTATTTCATGTAATTGATATTTAGAAACCTAAATGAATACTTACGCACATGTCAAAAAAACTGATTTGGTCTCACTAACCTGGCTAGTTAGCTGTGAAGTTTTTAAAAATTGAATGTTGTACTGAATTAGATATGGTTAATACCTAGCCAAACATTATTAGAAAAATAAAATTGCTTAGAAGTGTATAAATTGTAAAGAGCTAAAAAAAAAAAAAATTTGTGAACACTCTAAGGTCACAATTCTTATCTGATTTTGATGAAAATTGAAATATAGGTTTATCTTCAAAAGATCTTGGTTCCTTTCGATATTGGCATGTATCAGATCGAAACTTTATATATTATGGCCCCTGATTGTACGAAAAATCACATCTTTAGCTTGTGGACATTCTCGAGGTC